CGCTGCCCGGCCGCCCGGACTCTGCGGGTCTCGGGCGCTGGGCTGGAAAATCCCGCCTCCCTGCAGCGGGGGCTCCGGGCGCGGCGCGCGGCGCTCGCGCGCCCTCGCTCGCCAACTTTCTTTCTCTTCCTGCGCTGCCCCCCTCCCGCCCGGACTTCCTCGTCCCCAAGCCCCGCCGCCGGCCTCGCCCGTCCGCTGCCCCGTACCCCCCCACTCCAGACCACCCCGCGCCAGCGCTCTCTGCCTCAGTTTCCTGCCTCTCAGCCCCCGCCACCCCCTCTCTTCCGGCTGCCCCCAGCTGCCCCTCGTTGCTCGGTGTCCCCGCCTCCTCGCCCACTTCCCGACCTCTTTTCCACCTTCAGTGTAGATCTCCTTTCAGAACCACCGCCCTCCCTTCGGGAACGTGTTAGGAACAGCCTGCTTCCCCCTCCGCTTCTCTCAGATCTCTGCTGCAGCACGGTTCAGATTTCCCCTGACAGCACTTTGGAGGGGGGGGCGGGGATAAGAGATGAAAACGCTTATTCTACAGTTTGAATGCGGTAGCTGGTTTCACCTGCTTCTCCGGGGTCATGGGAAACCCCCGCCGCCACCTGAACACCACTTTGGGGGTGTCTTCTCCAGGCATCTCAGGTTCCCGGCCTCCTGAGGGCCTGAGCTTCCCCAGTTCTTGGTCCTGGGTTGGTACAGGTTGTGCCTCTTTGAGCCAGAGACCCCTTTCAACTTCTTTAGCAAGAATTGGTCTTTGCAGTGTGCGCTTGGCAAAGATTTGTGCCTGCTATGCTAATTTTGTCAGTATATTCTGGGCTAAGATGGCATTTTAGGATATGGGTAGGGCGCTTGACGAGTAATTGGCCACCACCCATATGGTTTTTAACCAGTTTTGGCTATTCAGCCTTTTCCTCTTAGGGTGTCTTTGTGTAGGATTAGATGAGCAGTGTCCCTGGAAGTCTCAGAGCCTCTGATTGGTATACTTTAGCCCACTTTGTATAATAAGCCAAATATAATTCTTGGCTTTTCTGTTAGGGTGTTCTTTTTGTTTCCAAAGTTTGTTCTCTTGCCTTAGATCACATGAGCACAGAGAGATTACCCTCCTACTGCACAAGATAACTTCCTGGAGTGCCTGAGTATAGCGTTTGTGTCTGCAGTGGAGCTGAGCACTTAGTGTTGATGTGGGTGCTTTCCGCCTGTGTCTCCCAGCAGAGCTTGGTACTCAGCCCCTGCTTATTTGGAGAAATGTTTGAGAACAGAGGGAGCAGGGAAACCACATAGGAAATATTCTTTCTTGGCCGTGTCTCACTTCAGTAGCATAAAATTATCCTGGGGCAAAAGCTATTATATATTTGTGTCCAAGTTTAAGCTTCTAAAATATCAAAAATAACATGCTTACTGTCGAAAAATAATCACACAGTAGTGAAGTTCTCGTTTCACTACTGCGTGACATCATCCTGCTACACTCTTTCAGAGCCTTTCCTGTTTGAGTATGCAGAAGAGATACATTTTTTTCACCGGCAGTAACCTATCGTGAACTTTCTTCCATATTAGTACATGTGATTCTTCTCAAGGACTGCCTAGTCTCCCCATCAGTTCTTTGTTGACGCTTCATTTTCTCAGGTTCTCCACATTGATGAATGATGGTTGACACCTCGAGCTTGCGTCCTTGTATTCCTAAGTATTTTTATAGGTAGATCATTCCAGACTTTGAAAGCACAGACAGAAGCCAGACTTGCTGAGTCTTGACTGATTTTGCCCTACTGATGTCACTTCTTCGAACGCAAAGCCTGTGTCATAAATGGGCACCGCCAGCGCACTTGCTGGCACTCGGTGGCCTCGTCCCCTTCCCCTTCAGCTTTTCCCTTGGTTTGATTGGGAGCCCTGGGGGGTGGGGTGGAAAAGGGCATTAATGGTTTATGAGGGAGCCTTGCCTCTGACCGCCTGTGCCTCTCTGCATTCAGAGGACAGCACTGAGAGGTTGCTTTGTTTTTTCTAGAGTTTTGAAATCCAAGGTGGGTGGGTATCTTAAAGTGTGATTGTAGACTTCCCTGGTGAGTTAAATGTATGGGAAACAAACTTTTGGGTAGAAGGACTAGATCTTTCAAACCACTGCATGGCAGTTTATCCTTCCTTACAGCACATACATGTGCGGTGCCCTTAGCTCTCTCAGCACAGCAGCTAGGCACAACACATGAGCTGCAGGTTGGGAGACTGCCTGTGGCACAGATGAAGTATGTCTATGCAGTGTCTACTTTCAGGATGGTAGGTGTATGGCAGTGTGATCCATGATCAGGCCTTACCACTTGCCCATGACATTGCCTCTGGAAAGACACTGGGTCAAAGGTCAAAAAATCCAGTAATGATGCTGGAGGAAGGGGACCTTTGCAAATCATCTGCTTTCTGTGGCAGAGAATAAAACAGTTTGTTCGCAACCCCAGGGAGACTTTCTGTTTGACATCAGAGACCCCTTGCACTCGGGGTTGGCCTTTGCTCCCTTTTGCTGTGAGATGGCCAAGGCACCCAGTGTTTGTGCTCCAAAGAAAAGGAGCTTTGCCTTACCTGTCTCCCCCTCACAACTGAATGACCTACAGAGTGTTTGAAAATTCCCCTTTTTACCTGCAGGGGTCATCTCGTCCCAAGAGCCCTTTGCCTCCCCCACATCTCCCCTGCGGGTCACCCAGCTCTGATAGACTGATGCAGGCCCTGATAAGTTACAAGTTACAGACAGCAAGAGGTTAACAACAGTAATAACAAAATGACAGAGGGATAATAAATAATGATGAAAGTCGTGTAGATGATAATTTATAAATTAGGTACAAAAGAGATTAACACTAAGGATGAAATAAAAGAAACATAATGATACACTGTAACAAAGGTTGTGAGGGGGTGAAGCAGAGTATCTTACCGGAGGTAATATTTTTGGCCCAGGGTCAGCCAGGGTGCCCAATGGAACCACAGATTGGGGAAACTAAGGAGCTATTCTTAAATGCCCAGCACATGGCAGAAAAAAGCTGGTGACCAAATCCAGTAAGTAATGCTGGAGGAAGGGGACCTTTGCAAATCATCTGCTTTCTGTGGCAGAGAGTAATGCAAAGTAGGACTTTCTTGGACATTCTCAAATGACAGGGAAAAAATTACATATTTACTGTCATTGCTTCATAACAAATGGAGGTTTGGTTGTCCTTTTCCCTCTTAGCCTCTAACATGTTTTCTCTCTTCCCTAATCATTGTTTTTAAAATGCTGGGGTTTGGGCTGAAGTACCAGGCCTGTGGTTTTTGTCCTTTAGTTGGAGAACTCAAAGGTAGTGCAGACGGCGACATAGGCCCAGACCCTGGCATCCACGCTAGGTCCTTTCCATCCTCGCAGTTGTAATAAGAGCTACTCCTGCCATGCGGTGCCTTCTAAAATATCTGATTCATTTCTTTGCTGAGGATTAAGTTTGGGTGTTTTAAAAAGTACTTATTTATTTATTTATGCATACAGAACTGGGGTACAGGCCAGAGGTGCAGGGATGGTGAGAAGATTCACCAGAGACAGTGGGGGGAGCAGAACAGGTCGACTGATGAAGCACTGATGAAGTACACTGCTGAGGGGAGCAGCGGGGAGACAGGAGAGATCTGCTGTGCTATGTGGATAGCTGTGGGGCTGAGGATCCCCAGCTTGTAGTGCTGTGATTTTTAACCCATTGCGCCACCAGGGAGGGCCCCTGAAGATTAAGTTTTAAGCTTCACTGGCTGCTTTGTTCCAAGAAGAAGCCCTTCTCAAACCTCTGTCCTGAGAGTGCAGGATGAAGGTGGTTAAACTCCAGCACCTATGTCAGGTGCTCCTTACTGTGTAAGCCTGATGGTGCGGGGGTCGAGGGGTGGGTGTTGGTAGTTTCCACCGTGAGCACCTCATGCAGTCCTCCCCTTAATGAGATGCCGCTGTGGTGCTGGGGAGAAAGGTTTCCTCATCCTGATGAACATCTTAGGTGTTCACAGGTGTAAACTATAAACTGGTCTTCAGAAGATCTATCTCTTCTTAACCTCATGACCCCATCCAGCTGGTGATTAATCTCAGGCTTCCCTATCTTCATTCATCCCACAGCATTTATTGAGAGTCTGTTATATGCCACACACTGATCTGTCATTGCAGATAAAAAAGAAAAGAAAAGCAAGACATAAAAGGTCCCTAATGCTTAACAGCTGACATTCCAGTAGAGGAAGGAAAAAAAAAACCAACTTACATAGTGGTGAAATGAGACAAGCCTTGGGATGGTGGATGGCGATTTGCTGCAGGGATAGCAGGTGGCATGTTCAGTAGCGTCTGGGGAAGCCATTTCAGCTGAGGTATGAATTGCAGGAAGGAAGCCCCCTGGGCAGAGAGCCCAGGGAAAAGCATTCCAGGCTGACGGCCCAGCAGGTGCAGAGACCCCAAGATGGGAGCATGCGTGGTGTGTCCCAGCCCTGAAAAGGCAGGTGGTGGAGCGCAAGCTGGTGGGGTGAGGAGGGCCCAGCGACCCTTAGAGCAGCAGCCTTTACTTGATCTTTTTCTGAACAGCAGGAGTTGTCTACATTCATCATTTCTTGTTCTCACTTTTTTGCCCTGTTGTTCGCAGACACTGTCCCATGCCCTGCGTTTGAAACTGTCCTCAGAAATATCACCAGTGTCTCCAGGGCCCTGTGTCCTCATTACAGTTTGCATGGACGCTGGGCTCTTACACTACAGACAATGGTTTGGTGACCTAGCCCCTCCATTTTCATGTGTCCAGCCTCCTTCCCCGTCAGCTTTCAACCCAGGCCTACCTGACTTCCTCTAGTTCCTCCCACAAGCCTGTTTCCTCTCCCTTCTGTTCCCTTCTGTTTTCCATCATTCATCTACCAATGCTGTCCTGTCCTTTCCTATCCTCTCCTGCAGGTCATGCACCACCTCTTCCAGGAAGCCTTCCTTGACTCTTTCTGTTGCATTTGCAACTCCCTACATCCCCTATGTGCTAGTTGAAATGGCTGTTGTCTTGACTGTAGGAATGGCTTCTTGGGTGTTAACAAATGTCAGAAAAACACATCAAATTATATGCTCTAAACACGTGATTTATCCTGTGTCAGTATCCTGAGCACATTTCCATAATTGCATGCCCCTTAAAGGGAAGCAGGGGTATTAGAGACACCGTGTTTGGATTCCTGAGTCTTGCAGCAGTTGCTCAGTAAATATTTGTGGTCCAGTATACTAAGCCTTGACATGCGGTGAGCGGTATTGTATCTGGATTTAGCTTTAGTTTTTTGGCAGTGCTTCATCATTTAATCCAACGTAGTGTTTGGCAGTTTTTCTCCCATAGTTTGGAGATTGAAGATCGGTGGTTCTGGCAGATGTGGGTAATGATTTGACGCTTTCTCTCTAGGCATCATGCTGCAAGAAGAGTGACCCTTTGCCCTCTCTTCACAATGGAGGACTCAGGAAAGACTTTCAGCTCCGAGGAGGAAGAAGCAAACTACTGGAAAGAGCTGGCTATGACCTACAAGCAGAGGTCAGTTCTCCCAAGTGCACCTGTGGTTTCTCCTGTACCGACGCCTCCAGTGTCTAGTGTGGGCTGATGATGTGACAGGCACCGGGAAGGATTTGTCATATACGCTCAGGTCAGACTGGAGCTGTGCACTATTAGTACCCCACTTTGCAATTGGGGAAGCGGAGCCTCCAAGAAAGATAGCTTCACAAGGTCACACAGCTAGAATTTGAGCTCCAAAGTGCTGAGCAACCTGCCGGGTTACTCGTTATTTTACTTTTTGTCCATCTTAATCAGTTCCCAGATACCATATCTGGTCTGTTGTGAATAGGTGGAAGAACTTCTCCTATGCCTCGCAAAATATGTTCTGGATTTTTAAGTTTGAAGCCGGTGTTTCAGTGCTCACATCTGGGAGTAGTGAGTGGTGTGTGTGCGTGCAGGTGCACACACAGGTGTGTTCAGCATTGTTCATTTCTCATGGTCTCTTTATGTGGAGGCCTGATACCTGTCCATCCAACGTCAGTGTTCTTAAAGGTAAATTGGATTCAAGAGTCCCTTGAATTTTAAGGATTGAGCAACCAGATTTGAATATTTGGGATGGGCTAGATTGTCATGGTGTTGATCAATATTTATATCCCGTCTGATTCCTATTTATAAATAAGTCTGTAGCAGATACACAATCACAGTATTTACTATGTGCTGGGATCAAAAGATACATGTTGAATGAATTAGTCAGGAGAGACTTGGTTAAAAAATGGCACAGTCGTGTTTCTGCTTTGTGTGACCTTGAGAGACCAGTCACGCATCTTAACTAAATCTCATCTTATCTACAAGACGAGGATAATGATAGTTTCTGCCTCAAAAGGCCGTTCACTTGATAGGCCAGCCTCTGACATCTGGGACTTCTGCTGTAGGGCGGAGAATACCCAAGAGGAACTCCGAGAATTCCAGGAGGGAAGCCGAGAATATGAAGCTGAATTGGAGACGCAGCTGCAACAAATTGAAACCAGGAATAGGGACCTCCTCTCAGAAAATAACCGCCTTCGCATGGAGCTGGAAACCATCAAGGTGAGGGGCGAGGTGGAGATAGGGTTCCAGCATGGGGTGTGTGACGGAGGAGGGCCCTGGGCCCAGTTGCAGTAGGGTAGGTCTGGAGGCCTCCCGACACCGATACAGTTCTCAGGCACCAGCCCTGTGTCCAGGAATTCAGCTCAATTCTGACACTGGAGACAGCGTCAGGTTCTACGCAAGACCACCCTCCTCTTCAGACGAACCCAGGTTATGAGCGGTTCGCTGGACCTCCAGAAACTTCAGGTGCCCGTAGGTCAGAGGATTAACTAGCTAGAGCGGCTCACAGGACTCGGACATCCTGAGTCTCTTCACTGCAGCCAGCTGTCTGTAAGTCGGGGCCAGCCAGGGAGAAGAGCTGCATGGGGCGAGGCGTGGCTCCCCAGACCTCCACAGGAGTGCCACCCTAGAGGCTCTCTAGCCCTGCCCTCCTGGGTTTTCACAGAGGCATCCCTACTCATCCATGAATAAATCACTGGCTGCTGGTAATGGGGCTCGCTCCAGCCCCTCCCCCTCCCCGAGGGCAGGGGAAGCTGTGGTTGTTTGGTTCCCAAGATGTCAGCTCATTTACGTAACCTCTGCCACTCCACACTTGGGAAATGCTAAGGGCGGGGGACCAGTGGGTGGAGACCTGACAGACTCGAGAAATATATTTTGCCATAAATGAGCAAACGCGTATTTCATATAACCAGAGTCACAGTGACGGGAAAGAGGCCCTGCAGGGCGAGGCCTGTGGCCAGCTCCCACCAGGCCTTTGGTGCCCCGGGTGTGGTGCTCTGGGAGAAGCAAGCCTCGTGGGTGTCCCCTGGCTGCTCTTGGCTGTCCAGAAGAACCTTCCAGGAGTCTCTACAGCATGCAGTGTGACTGCAGTCATAGTTATCACAGGGCCGACCTGGAGCTGCGCAGTGGGACGGATCTGTGGCCTCCAGGCCACCCGTGACTGCTGACATTTAAATATATTAAAGAATGTTCAAATGTCAGTTTCTCAGCCATAATGGCCACCTTGCAGGAGCTCAGTAGCCACTTAGGTATGGTTATTGGACAGAGGGGCTGTGGAATGTTTCCATGGTTACAGAAAGTTCTGGACAGTGCTGGTCTAGACAGGCCTGGGCACTGTTGACCTTGCAGATCAGGTCATGCTCTTTGGGGGGGCCAGCCTGGGCCCTGGAAAATGTTTGCCAGCGTCCCTGGTCCCTACCCACGAGACGCCAGTAATGGCTCCTCCCTCAAGTGGTGACAGGGCCAGTCTCTGGGGAAGCTCTGCTGTCCAGGGCAGACATGGCTTCTGTGCATTGTAAGGGCTCCTCAGAGGTCACCGAGTGAACCGGTGCTCTCACTTTCGGGCCACTCACTGGCCAGCTCCATACACCTCAGCAGGCGCACCCGCCGCACCCTGAGGTTCTGCTCTCGGTCAGAGCCAGGCCCTGGCATGTCTGTGTGCCTCTTGAGTTGTTTTTGTGTCTTACTTTAAATTTCCCATGTCCGTTTGCAGGAACTAAGGGCCAGCAGCGTGTGCCCAGGCTGAGGGGGATGGTGTGGAAGGAGATGGGCTGGGAGCTTTGAGGATGAGACCAGCTGAACGCCATAGAGCAGTAGGAAAGGGATCCCAGCCCTCGCAGTACTGTCCTTGAGGGGAAGACGTTGTGGGGTGGTGGGGCAGGCTCATCAGGCATGGGCAGGGGCCTGGGCTTGTGTGCTAAGGGGAAGGATGTTGTGTGCAGGTGTGTGCAGGGTTGATGAGGAGGCAGACTCGGGCAGGAATGAGTGCTAAGAGGATTTTGGGAATCCTGGCCTTGCTTATACGTGGGAAGAAGTAAGGCCCAAGTGGCTGGAGGGAAGGGGTGGCGGAGGGCAGGTGCCCAAGGCCTGGGGAGCTGAGGGGTGGAACTGAAGCTGTTCTGCTGCAGGCCTGAGCTGGCCGCCTCCCGAGCGTGGTTTGCTTAGCTTTCAGGTGGTTCAGCGTTTTAGCAAGATTGAAGGTATCTTCTGGAGAAGTCCTGTCTGCCCAACAGGAGGCTCTACCAAAACCTCTGTTGTTCTTGCTTTCTGTTAGATGTTTGTCCATCTGTCAGTCTGTCTGCTGCTGCATTCAAAGTCAGTCACAGACGCCTGTGCGCTTGCCTGGATTTGCTCAGTGTGCTCAGCACGCTGTTTTGAAGGGCCTTGCTGGGCCTTCTTTTGAAAGAAAATATAGATCTTTAGTGTTTTTTCAATGTACAACATCATCCTTCACAGTTGTGAATTGACTTCTCTGGAGAATTGGGAGGTGTGGCCCCACGGCTGCTGCCTTCTGCAAAGGCCATGGAGTGGCTGCTGACCTAGAGCAGGTCACCCCGGCCCTCTCAGTGGCCCCTCCCTGGTATCTCTCACACTGGGGGCATGTCACCGGCTGTTTCCCTACCCAGCCCACCTCACTCAGCTGCAAACAGGCGCCTCAGCACCATTGTAGTCCTTAGATTGAAGGGGACTCAGGATGGAAAGGGAGGGGGAGAGGGGAGGGGGCCTTCAGGGCGCTGAATGGACATGGTGCATCTGCCGAGTAGCTGGGGGCCTCGGGACCATGCCCCTGACGCCAGGAAGACCCCTTGGTTCCAGCCACTTGACCAGGGTACAGGGCTCGGAGCACCAGGCAGGCAGAAGTAACTTGGGGTGAGGCGAAGCCGCGTGCTTGTCGGCCTGGAGAAACGCCTCCGCTGGGCCCTGCTTGACAACAGGCGCATTCATCACAAGTTGGACAGAAAGGCCCCACACAGAGCGCCCTCTGAGCTTCCCGGGCTGACAGCTCGCGGTCATGAGCCCCACACGCCACGCCGCGTCCCAGCAGCCGCTTTCAAGTGCGCGTGTGCAGAGGCGACCACTTGAGCCCTCAGGCCGGGGGAGAGCCCGTGGCCACGTCCTCTGGGAGCCCACATTTGAACATCAGTAGTGACCCAGGGCCTGCGCCCTCCTGTTTCATGTGGAGCCGCAGCCTGGAGAGGGGTGTGGTCAGGAGAGCCCGGTCCACCCGCGGCCTGGGCACGCCCCGCTCTCCCCCAGGACCCCGTGGCAGCCCAGGGTGGCTGTGCCCCCAGCACGCCCCCCCATCCCCCACCCCCCACCCATCTCAGGGTGGCTGGCGTTCTCCGTGGCGCCTGCCAACACCGATGACGGCTCCTCCCTGGTACGTCCAGACTGTTCCTAGCAACAGTTCTGTTTATGCTGTTGAGTAAAGGAGAGGAGTTTTCTTTTTTCTTTTTTTTTTTTTTTTTTGTAAACTTTCTAATTATACTCAGGCCTTTCCTGTGGGAAGTGTTTTCTTTCACGTGCATAGGATCCAGGAAGGGTGTTTGCTGGTGGAACAGAATATGAAAGGGGAACTAGAGCAACTGTGTGTGTGTGTGTGTGTGTGTGTGTGTGTGTGTGTGTGTGTGTGTGTGTGTGTGGGAGAT